CAGGAAATTGGTTTAGCATGGAATATCCATGTCTTCTTTGTCCAGCATTTTCTTACATTTTTACTGTGAAGGTCTGTCTTAAAGTATGAGCTCTTTTGTAGTGTGGTGGTGATGGATGATTGTGTTTGTTGTGTACATTGTTGACTTGCCTTTTTTCCAAGGCCACTTAATTTTTCTTGAAGTTGTTGCATTCAATGCTTTGTCTTTAGTGCTGTTCTAGTATAATAGGTTCACATTCTATATAGAAGGTGAATCATAGACTAGTCAATATGCAACAATGCTCATTGTGTAAAGGGTCAAGACATTTCAACACCTGATGAGTGTTATGCTATGCCTAAAGGAAGGCTGTTCTAAAGAAAGAGCTGCTTGGCATGTATGAATTTGACAATCAGATAAAATATATGTTACTTTTGTGTATTTCAATTTATTTGATAATATAATGGTGCAGTCAATGTGGGCATGACTATTTTGGATGTAAATCTCCAAGCGCTAAGTAGGATCAAGATCTGTCCCAGCCAACTATATTTTTCATCCTGAAAATGTGTTCCAGTCATCTTCCAAATGTACCCTCCTACCTTCTTCTTCTGTACTCCTTGGTCCTTACTTCTAGTAGGCAGAGAACATGAAAAATTAAGGTAACATGCAGGAGCAGTAAAGAGGGAGAAAGATGAAAACTCTACTAAGTGGACAGTGGTCTGTTACGGGGGGGAGGGGGGGGGGGGGCTGGGGTTGATTGGTTGTATACCACTAGGAGGAATAAGGAAATTTATGGGTAGGCCTGAGAAGATATGCCAGAACGATATCTTAGAATTGACTCAATACACCAGGCACCATGCATCCTGTTCCCATGTGGATTTCTATTTCACTGATAGCACTTTATATAGAAGGTGACACAGTTGCTGATTTCAGTTGCTCATTATTTTTTATCTTACATAAAAAGAAGTAGGGGGAAGGGTCAACTCTTCTGTAAAAGTAGGCCACAAACTTTAGCTCATGCACAGTAACAAAAAGTGTAAACACCGATCAGCTATAGCATTATGATCACCCACCCAATATTGAGTAGGTCCACTTTTGCTGCCAAAACAGTCCCTTTTGCTGCTGAAATAGCAGCAATGATCCATTGAGGCTTGGATGCCACTAGACTTTTGAAGGTATACTGTGGTATCTGGCACTAAGCCATCAGTAGCAGATCCTTTACATCCTGTAAGTTACTAGGTAAGGCCTTTATGGATCAGACTTGTTTTTCCAGAATATCTCACAGATGCTCTATTGGATTGAGATTTAGAGAATTTGAAGGTCAACATCTCAAACTCATTGTTGTGTTCTTTAGACCATTCTTGAATCATTTTTGTAGTGTGGCATTATTCATTATTCTGCTGAAAGAGGCCCCTGCCATCAGGTAATACCGTTTCTATGAAGGAGCATACTTGGTCATCAACAGTACTTAGGTAAGTATTACGTGTCAAGAAACACATGAATGGCAGGAAAAAAGATTTCCCGACAGAACATTGTCCAAAGCATCTCAACCCTTTGCCAGCTTGCCTTCTTCCCATAGTGCATCCTGCTGCAAACTCTTCTCCAGGTAATTGATGCATAAGCTCCATTCACATGATGTAAAAGAAAATGTGATTCATCAGACCAGGCCACCTTCTTTCATTGCACTTTTGTCCAGTTCTGATGCTCAAATGTCCGTTGTAGGCACTTTTGTCTGTGGACACGGGTCAGCATGGATACCCTGGCTGGTCTGCGATTATGCTGGTCCACACACAACAAATTGTGATACCCATTTTTATGCTTTCCATACCTCAAGTTCAGTGACAACATGCTGCCTTATATATCCCACCCACTTTTAGAAGCCATTGTAACTAATTAATCAATGTTGTTCACTTAACCTCCCTAGCGGTCTGATTATGTCAGTATTTCTGTGCTCAAAGCAGTACATTGTTTTCAATTCAAATTTGTTGTTTTTTTAATGTAGGCCTGTAATTCTTAGGAATAACTGACTGAAATCTGTCCGAACAAGAGTCTAGTAAACATCCCGGGTATGAAAAATTTGAAACACGAAATCATAAATTATAATATAATAAATAATTATAAAAAATAATCATATAATAATAACAAATTAAATTCAATAATGTAATCAAACCAAAAACACTGAAATTTGAAATATAGCGCCAAGTTTGCACATCACTGAGCTTAGTTGTAAAATCGTTTTCAGTGTCTGATGATGAATTTCCCCACGAATCATTATCACTCAATTCTGCAAGTGGTTCTGATTTACTATCGCTGTTCTCTAGCTGGTCTAAAACCGCTTTTGACCTAAAGGGATGCTTTTTGGATGCCATGGACGTTTCTCAGTTTCCAGGCCGAAAGAACGGTAAAAATGCAAGCAGGGCACAGGACAAAGCATTCGGGACAAAACGTATGTGAAATGGTTTGATACAGTAATTTAATATTAGATTTTAGTGTATAAAGTGAATTTCACATTTTTACATTTTTAAAATTCCCACCGGTTCTGTCCCCCCGTACATCCTGACGCTCGCAGGGAACGGAACCCGAAAGACGGAGGCTCCCAGAGCAACGCTGCAGTGTAATCCTGAGTGTAGCTCGAGGTTACCGCTTCTGGTACTGAAAGTTAACCCCAAGCTACACTCAAGAATACCGCCAGGGGGGTTAAACTGTCGGTGGTCATAAAGTTATGGCTGACAGGTGTATATTTATGTCAGGAAATGAGCTGAACTCTTCCTGACTTGCTGTGGTTTCTGATGCAAACTGTGAGACGCTCACAGTGTGCACTAAGATCTGTGTAAGCAATTTAAGTACAGGAGAGGAGACCATACAATTGTGAAATACCGAAGGTAAGGCTGTAGTTCAGATTTATGTAAGCCCAGCAGTGGTGTAGGATGATGGATGTAAATGTAATGGCCAGGTTCTTTTCGGAGCTGCCGCTGTTTGCTGTTGCAGTGTGTATAGCTGTGTTGGGCCTTTTTGATAAACTGGCAGAGGCTGCTGCAGAAAGTACACTTTATCACAAGCAGACAAACTTGTGCTGAGTTAAGGTCAGTGTCACTCACTTCTCTTTAATGTCCTCTTCCAATAGCAGCTGCTGGTTTCCTTTGAAATGAAGGAAAAATATTTGGTCAGATGAAAAAAAAAAAGCTGACATGACTCCTTACAATATAAGCTCCTACCTGGCATGTTACCTTTTGCTTTGAAATCGGTTTAGGGTAACTTTGCATAAGACATTGTGCAGTACGCTCAAAAAGCCATTCATCAAACGAGCGCAGGAATATTACTGGCATACTCCAACTGCAGTGGAAATACAAGAAAATATATATCAGCTCATTCTTTTCTGCTGTTCATAAAACATGATGTATTGATTCATTTCCAACAGTTTGGGATCGGAGGGATTTTTGTGCTAGTCAAAGTTATGCATTAAATGGCTTAAAGTGTGAACCTTTAATATGAATAAAATTTGCATGTAATATAGGAACTATTAACTGGAAACAATAAATCTTTTTAAGGCACTTTGCACTTTGCAAAAAAAAAAAAAAAAATGAAGGTCATGTTATTACACAGTGTTATGGCGTACAGATGGAAATAAAAAAAATGGTGATAATTGAGTGAAAATCAAGGTAGTGAATAAAAATATGAAAATGCTGTTTTATTAGAGACCAAGGATTAAAACAGTGATCTAAATATATATTTAGCATATAGACACATTTTCTGTTAATCTAGAGCAGACCAGAAGGTAATTCCTAGATTACCATTACTGTAGAACTGTGGCCAGGCTATGGGCATTAAATATTAAAGTGTAACTAAAGGCAAAACCTTTTTTTTTTTTTTATTGTTTTGGACAGAGTGGAGAGGGATTGGAACAGCTGTCAGGTTTTTTCAGCTGTCTGTGTCCCCGTTAGGCAGGTTCACCCTCTCTATTTGTCCTGTTTGCCATTATCATTGAAAGTGAAAGTAAAAGAAAATCCCAAATTTTGGTTTGTCCCCAGTAAAGGAATACATTGATAATCTTCCAGTGGGGACACTAGTTCTGGGGACTCTAGTTCTGGTGACAACCAGGGATTTCCTCACTTTGGAAGGATTTCCTCTCACTTCCTGTTTTGGCTATGGAACAGGAAGTGAATGGAAATCTCCAAAATAGGGACATAGATGGCAAAATACACTTTACAGGGCTTATAACCTTCCCTCACTCTATCCAAAAGGAAAAAAAGTTTTTCCTCCTGCTTTAACATATTGTTAAAGCCCAACTCCAAGAAATTTAAAAATTAACCTCTGCACTGGGGCTAGTCTGCACTGCAAGGGTTACTGGCTTGTTTTTGTCTAGGGGAGAAAAGAAGCACTTTTCAGGCTCATTTACAACAACAGTTAAGGAGTTTTAAAACCACATGGTTGAGTTGCATTTTTACTGCCCCTCAAATACTCCCCCTTTAGCTGGATAGGCATCAGCTGGGGATGTACATATGTCACAGCCACAATTCTTGGCTTCATGGCCATGGCAAGAATTATACCCTTTGTCACATTTGGCAGGTGGCAGTGCCCGCCAAATGTGATTCATGTCAAGTGAATGGGGCCACGCTGCAACACCCCTGCAACCTCACACAATACACACAGACGTGGCAAAGTAGTCCATCATTTAGGGAGTTACAACAGGAGGTGAGAAGGTGATACAGCACCTCCTCACTGCCTGGCACATGCTCTCTGTAGAGCAATCCAAACATGGATCACCCTTCAGAAAGCAACACAAGTGTAAAGCTGCCCATAGATCAGTGGTCTCCAGACTGTGGCCAGGGCCTTTTGGGTACTATTCCTCCCACCAATAAAAGGCACTATTCCTTCCACTGACTCCAGCAATGGGGAATAATTCCTCCCACTGACACCAATGGTAGGGCACTATTCCTTCCCCTCACACCAACAATGGGGCAATATTCCTCCCACTAATACCAATGATGGGGCATTGTTTACCCCTGTTGACGCTAGGGCATTTTCTATTCTCACTGGCCACGGTCCAGCTTCCTTAGAGTCTGAAGGACAGTAAACTGGCCCTTTGTTTAGGAAGTTTGGAGACATAGATGGAACTAAATTTGGTCGGTTCAGCAAGGACTGGCCATATTTCGATCCATGTATGGTTAATGTGGTCATACAGATCGACTTCTGTACAACCACCCTGCTGGAAAATTTCCTCTTGATCAGTGCTGAAGGCTATAGACTGCTGTGCCAATCTGTGTATTGTGATGGCATGGAAGTCTATCGACCATCAGAATGCAATGACACAGCGGGGAGGATTCCTTCATCCATTCCAAATGTGTGGATTGGAAAGTTGGATCCATTTTTTTTTTGATCAACTCGATGTTTGAACAAAAAAAAAACGGACTCATCTATGACCAGCTTAACTCCTTTTCACCAGCCGTACGCATATATGTGGCCTCTGGTGGGTGGACCTTAACGCTGAGAGGCCACATTCAGTATATGCGTTACCAAAGAAGAACAGAACTATGCTGAGCATGTGTATCCTGCACGCTCCTGGCACAGTTACCGGCTGTTAATGGAAAACTCCCGATCTCTACTTGCGATTGGGAGCTTTCTGATCATGTCACCACTGTGACAGCTGCTCACATGATTACAAATCCCGCCCCTCCTCCCGGCATCTAAAACCCCTTGGGGGTGAGCATTGTGACTTCTGTGAGAGGTAGTGATCAGCCACACAGCTGTGGGTTTGGTTCGGCAGTGGTTCATATGTACTTTATATATTCAGAGGTTCATTAAATCTCTAGAGGTTTAACATGTTTATGTGATTTCGAAAAATCATTATCAATCTGTTTCAATTTACATCTTTCACTAAGTTAATAGCTTTCCTTGGTATGGGGTTGACAAAGTTCTTTCCCTATCTCCCAGTTATGGCACTACATTTCCACCCTGTCATAATGGCTTCCAATGGCAAATACTAGTGGCCATTTTAACACACATTATACCAGTGTTTCTCAACTCCAGTCCTCATGGACCCCCAACAGGTCATGTTTTCAGGATTTCCATTATTTTGCACAGGTGATTTGATCAGTTTCACTGCCTTAGTAATTACCACAGCTGTTTCATCTGAGGGAAATCCTGAAAACATGACCTGTTGGGGGTCCATGAGGACTGGAGTTGAGAAACACTGCATTATACAGATATAGTCCACTGCTGGCTCCAGCAGAGGTTCTCAAGTATGCATACACAGGGAGTGGCTGGAAATTGGATGCAAATCGGCTACAAGAGATTAGTAGCACTGATGCAGAAAGTGTGAAAATAAGTATTTTTTATTTGAAAAAGGAATTTGTTTATACAACACAGTGCTTTATCAAACTAAAGGACACATTAAAAGAACAGTGAATGTGACTTTCACCAAACGAACACATGCATCTGAAGGCTTCATTTAAACTATATAGGTTTAATGGTGATACTTGGAGTTCTTGAAGTTCACAGAAAACCCTCTACTGACTTTTATATACTGTACTGAAATATTTGGAGAGTTATTTTTTTTTTCAGACAAATAAGTGGAAGTCCTTGTTTAGAGTTTACTTTCTGTCTATAGCACATTCCTTGTCCACCAGGCATGTGTCTCTGAGGCTTTCCTATCAAACCTTAATCTCTTCGCATTGTACTTTTATTTTAAAACCAGGAAAAGGAAAACCACTAATTAATTTCATATAAGCGCTTTGCCCCTAGCGTGGCTTAAATATACAGACTGGTAAATGGTCTTGACTTCAACCACTCCCGACAGGCTAGAATTTAATAACATTCCAGACTGAAGATATATGAGAATTATAGCTGGCTTAGTCTATATTTAGTATTATAAAAATATAGGCTCCTGGAGAGTCAGAAGGGCTTGAGAATTTTATTGAAAGGATCATTTCCTGTGCAGTGAATTATCAGAGTATGGACAAATCCCTGTATGTTCCCCTCATTGTAACTTACTCCCTCATTTAAAGACAAAAGTCCACTTTTTGTGGATTTTGCCTAGGGCTAAACATTCATATCAAATAGGCCTACTATATATAGTGCTTGCCTAAATGCATGGTATGCTCCATGCCACCAACCCTTAGGCCCAATTATTTTTCCTGGGACTTAATCAAGATTAACACCTGAAGGCAATGGGGGAGCCACAGTGAAGATCTTGATTCATATCACCTGAGTGTCCCATTGGGTTGAAGACAGTCACACTTCCTGCTATGGGGGCTTAATAGCAACTGTTTAGCTCCACCACTTTTTAAGGAATATGGGAATAAATAAAATAAACAATTATGCTCACCTAGATGGCAGGTGCACTGTTCCAAGTTGCAGCTGTCCCCCACTGCCTCTAAAACTGAGATGAACCACCACTGATCGCTCAGCTCTTGGTCTTCAGGCTGCAGAGAGTTGGTGACTGTCAGTCATTGGCTCTTTGCTCTGCCCTTAAGCTCTCACTGGAGTCCAAAATGTGGATGGGGCAGTTCGGTTCACCTAGAGGCTGAGCCAGCTGCCATTCCAGGTATCTGAGTGGATTTTAAAGTCAGAATCTTTCCTGAGCATGCACAGACTGAGTGACATTAGCCAACAGCAGGCTTTGGACCCTCAAAATGGGTCACACGAGTGCAGAACAAAATGCACTTCTGTGATCCATAGGAAAAGTAGGGCCAAAAAGCTGTATACTTTATCCGTATATTCAGTTCCTATACTACATCCCTTCTTCCTAGGTGTCCTGTAACACTAGCTGTGATGTCATCTAGGACATTACCCTTGGCTCATGAGTCATGGATTCCAGAAACCACAGCTGGCAAGGTGTGTTAGCCTTCCATCCCTCTGTATTCCTTATGCCAGTGCTTGCCTTGGGAAAGTGCTGGGAGTTGAAGACAGGTGCTTGCTATCAGGTAGAAATACCATTTCACTCCACTGTAAAGAAATCGTTCCACTCATCGCAACTGAATGGGCACACATAATAAAAGTCATTATGTTTATGGCGACCCTGATAGCATCGGATAGTAACAATTTCAAATCAGTTCTTTCATCCTGAACTTGTTGGATGGTCCATAGGGAGATATTGCAAAGACTAACATAACTAAAGTTTCTTCTTACTTAAATACATGGCACTGATCCCATCAGGGTCATTATCTGGTGTTGGACTCAATCATTTTCTGGTATTAATTTTTTTTTTTCTCTACTGTAAAACAATTTTTTTAGCCTTTGAATCTCCTTATGCTAACAGTAGTTGTATTATTAATATTGGTTTTCATACATAATAACTCACTTGTACTTCTGTACATCAGAGCATGCTATAACCATAAACAATTAAAGCTTAATTCTAGGATAAGAAAATATTGTCTAAATACAAGAGTCATGTGTATTCTTTCTTGAAGCTTGGTGTGCTATATATACTTCTTCCAGATCTGCACAGTAATCCAGTGTGAAATGTTGTCTCTCTGCAGGAGCTTCCTGTAATGCAGACTGGTCACTGCTGCTCTCTCTCATTCTGCAAGGTGACTGGTCTTGTCACCCTGTTCAGCTTTAATCATTGCCATATCGACCTTTTCTTTCTACCCAGCTATGTTTCCACTACATAATGTCCACTTGTTGTGCATTCTAATAATTTGTATGACAACCATAATAAAAGCATATTTGATCAAAAAAATCTATATTTTGTATAAGAATACCAAAACATCATAAAGGGGGTTGCAGTTTAACTAAAGCACCCTTTTATTTAAAAAAATATATCTAAAAGTAACCTTTCCAAAATAAGTATTCAGCTGCACTGAGCCCAGGTCCTGACCTGGGTGGGATACTTCTTGTCTCCTGGGTGGAACCCAGAATTATGGCCAACCCCTTGACTATAAGGGATGTGCACACCTGCACACAGACAGTTTGCTGGTCTTTGGCAAAACCTGGACACAGGGATTGAAGCTTCTTTCCTCCACAAGACTCTTTGAAGCCTTTGAACTCTAGAACCCAATCTGGGAATTACAAAACCAGGCGAAAATGTAATAGCCAGTTTTCTCCACTCAGAAAGGACATTCAGGAGCCCCTATATCAGAAACTATGGGAACCCTGTGTAATCTTTAATCCTTCTAACCCATGGCAAGGCACAGCACTGCCACAGCAATTTTTAGGCTTTTATGGGGGGGTCCAATTCCATAATATATCAGAACAAATAGGCAAAATTGTGGTGATTAAGTTTATTCCTATCTGGCAATAGCACTACCTGAACTAGACAAGTCACGTCCGGCTAAGTCTGAAAAGCAGAAACAAAGCGGTGACAAGCAACCGACTCCCTTTTTCGCACCTGGATAAAACTGATTAAGTGAGTGGCATTTATGTTAAATATCACTTTTTACATCAATGCCCTGTTCTGCAAACTTGTTAACTGCTCAGCACAGATCGAGATGTTATTTAGGAGGCAAGCTTTCCTTTTGTTTAGATCATTTCATGTATGAAAGGGGTAGACAAACAGCACGACGCAGGAAATTAAACAGATGTAGGCAAAAGTGAATCATCACATAGAGCTGAGCACATTTCTGTAAACACTGTTTAAGTTCAGCACATGACTATTTAATACATAAATAGATGAATTAAATTTAGAATAATGTAAACATGGTGCAAAAAAAGGGATTTAAAGGAAACCTGTCAAAACCAAAATGAAGAATCGCCTATTAAAATCTAAGCGAAAGCTGAAAGGTAGAGTTTAGTTACTCTTGTATACACCTTTCAGGAGAAATGTCAGCTGTAAAATTTTTCCTGTCAGTTCCCTGTGTGTGAAATGGCATAGCATGAACTATGACCTTGAGCAGCACATGGCTGTTCGGAGTCAGTGATCTGTGGTGCGTGTTAGGATTGTCAGGAGGAAACACAATGAGCATGCCCAATACTAACAGCTCACAGGAATTTTTAGAAATATAAGACGTTGCAGAAGATACTGTCAATTTCAAGAATTTTCAGGCAGTAAAAGGAACATCCATAATCATATATGATATTGGTGGTTATTTTGTAGCCTGTGGGTGCTCCAGGATCACCTTGATGGCCATCATGACGACAATTAAAAAAAATAAAAAGTTGGTTTTGTAAAGAATTATTCACATTACTGGCAACTGGGAATTAAATGAAAACCTGAAATAGTGCTCCATTGTAGAATCTACTGGATACTGCTCGCTTTCTCTGCTCAGTTGGTGTTTCCTGCTGGTTCACAGGCTTCTAGTTCCAGTGCAGATTCTTAAGTTTCAAGGGTAAAAGTGCCTACAACACGAGATGCTGTTTACCTGAGGAAGCAATCATTTATGTAGACACTCCAAGCCTCTCTTGGCTGACCTTTTTTGGTTGGATTGCATTTTCTCACCTGATCACTTTTTTAGGGTAATGTTAGACTCTCTCTTCCTACTGAATTCATAGGCTATGACACATGGTTGTGGAAAAATATTTTGTCAAAAAAAGATCTTTTGGTGGTCATATTGTGCCTGCAAGGTCAATAGCAACTGGATATCTGTAGGTAGTTTTAGGGTTGCTGAACCTCAAATAAATTCATAAACCTGCAGGTTTATGTATGATTAGTTTTGAGAACTACAGAGGGTGGAGCTAGGAACCAGTAAAAGTGCTTGAGTTTTCTGAGGCTTAAATTCAGCAGCAGTCAGAAAATAAAGATTCCAGATTTTGTGACCAGGCGGCGGAATGTTTAGGATGAATGTCAGGAGGAATATCAGAGTCAAAGTAAGTAGTTTACGTCTAAAGGGAGTGTACCTCAAAGATATGACAGTGGTGGCAGTGGTCCGGGTTTTGTCAGATTCTCTGAAAACTGGCCATTTGTGACTACCATAACCCACAGGCTAACACAACCCATATAACCCATGTTCCTAAAGCTGGCCATACACTGTAAACAGGATAGATGAAGGAATCCCCTTGGCTGTCAGAATACATGAGCAGCAGCTGCATTTATTTTGATGTGGTAGTTGTTTGACCAGCAATTTTAACCCCAGATCCTTCATTTTTCAGATAGCAGGAAGTCAGGCAAGAGGAGGCCAACAGAGACACCCACGGGTCAAATTTTGGCCAGTTCCCAAGGAACCGCCAAACTTTGCTCCGTTTATTAACATATTCAGTTTGTATTACTGTATGCATTAACATGTTCAGTTTGTTCACTGTAAACTAAGTGTACAAATTTCTGAGAAGAATTCAAAAAACGTTTCAAG